CTTCTAAAATGCCTGCGGATTCTATCATTTATTAAGAACCTTTAATTTTAATTATTTTCTGTTATTGAAGATTATCATTCTTTTACTGAGCTGATAGCTTGAAAGACCAGTTGTGTGTGCATTTCACAGCGGGTTCTTTCATATAACTTTAATTACAGCCATGATTATATGTTGTTTATATGCCTTAACTATCTTTCAGACAACTCAAGCCTCTGTGTTCTTGAAATGAACTGCAGTTTACTGGGAGTGTAACCCTAACCAGCCGGGGGATGTGACCCAAAACACACCATTCATTCACCAAGAGTCCCTGTCATTTAATATGGAGCAGGTCTCAAAATGTCGAACAGGTACTATAGTACAGAGAAGGAGTATAATTACTGGGTTAATATGGCGTGTAGTAGCTCAATAGAAAATGACCACCTCTGGTTTACTTTTACTCACAGTATTTTGTGCATGACTGTGCTATGATTCTTTCTCAATGCAAAGTATTGTGAATTATCTTTTTAGTGGTCACACCAGTTTAATTGAAGGAATTGATGGGGTTTCCTCAACAAAGTGCATTGAAATATCATAAATAATTTAGAATCGGGTTGTTTTCATCATGTACATTTAACTGTATTATGAGCAAATAACACAAAGATCTTGGCGCCACACAATGGATACAAAAATGGACAAATAAACAAGATTTTAAACAAGACGTTTTCCAATACGGCTTCTGCTCTGAAGTTTGTTTTAAGATGTTTGGGTTCAGTGTTGACTCTGCTTTGAAATAACAGTTTAACATTAATCATTGTAGCTAGTGATTCAGAGATGAGGTAATGCAGATCTCCGGCCGGCGCTCTGACTCGAGTTCAGACCTGTTCCAACAGTCGTATAGCGTCTCATGAGGCTGACGGGCAACTGTTAATGTTCAACGACAAACGGGGTCAACGTCACAGCAGAGGCGCACTTTCCACAAGAGACACTATTTACCCTTATTTCAGACAGCAACATCCTAAATACACCGCTAATCTGTATTAGAAAACTACAACTCCATGACCCAAATGAGGACACAAATAACTTATCTTTTAACTTATTTTTTTACTAGTAGATGGTATTGTAATTTACGTTGCAAAAGAGTAATGTGAAATCGCGAAAATGTATAATTAGGTCCATCTTTCAGAGCCTGCCGGATGTTTCGTTTTGAGCGGCCTCGTCTGAGCTGAACAACTGAATGAAAGATGTCACACAAAAAATTAAGATTTATTTCAAAATCAAGCACAATCCTATCAAGGCCCAGCAGTGATCCTGTTTAAAAGACACATGTTGAATCAGTAAATTAGCCATTCGTTTCGGAATAAAATACAATGAGAGCAGTGTGGAAATAGCATTGATTCTAAAACATGTGGACTGTCCTGTGCAGCCGCCTCGTTCTTTATGTCCAACTAAAATGATTAACTTAACTCTGATTTTTCTTATGAGATGGGTTCACATTTCCAGCACAAATCTGGTGAGACGATAATCTGTTTTCAGGATTAACATGTTTATTTACTGGTAAAACCCTAATGACTTATTGGAACAAAGCAGCAAACAACAGCAGTGAAATGCTCGGTCGCTTCAGATGTTTTTTTGTGATTGAATGATCCACTGGGCTTTATGTGATGGGATCAAATCTGTCATAATCTTCTTGGACGCACATGTGGGGCAGATGCCAAGGGATAGTTTTTTTGTGTGTTATGCAATTGGTCACTTTTGATTATGACTAGTTCACATGCACCCTGTTTCCTATTTGTCATCTGTCTTGTCTCCTGTCTGTAAGGCAATCAGACCCTTCTGGGTAATTTGACCACAGACTGCAGGGGCTGGATGTTTGATTTGACTACACTTCTCTGTTCAGTCTAAACAACATGTTTAAGTTCTGGACTAAACAAGGTCGATCTTTAGAAATCCCTCCGCATCATTGTAACATTGAGTTTACCACAGAACTGAGTTGAGCAAGCAATCTCCAATTCTTTCTTAGTTTTGTAGATTTCAGTGGTAAGTTTTGAGTTCATTATAAGATCGACTGATATGGGTTTCATGTGGCCAGTGACCTATTACGGCGGCACGGTGGATGAGTTTGCATGTTCTCCCCGTGTCTGTGTAGGTTTCCTCCGGGTGCTCCGGGTTCCCCTACCACTAAAAACATGCACAGCAGGTATGAATGTAAATGAGAGCGTAAATGGATGGTGTTGATTGGGGGCTGATGCGCCAGTGTGTTCGGCAACATTGTAAAGCGCTTTGGGTGACCTTGGTCTGTAAAATGCGCTATATAAATAAACATTACTTACTTACTATTAAAGGCAAATATACAGGGGTCCTGGGCTAACGTAGCCTGGCCTTAGCTATTCATAAACTCAATTATTACTTCCCTCTGTGTACGTCTGGGTCTGATCCCAGTGTCTGCAGTTACCACCGTTGTATCCCATCCGACCAATCAGCGAGCAGGAGAGGCGGGTGTTGTAGGTAGTTGTCGGTGATGTTAAGGGTTTGTGCCAAGTTTGCTGGTTGCACAGAGTTGTAGACTGTGCAGAATTATAATGTTTTGGGTTCATTATTTGGAGTAAAATAAGTTAGGCGGATTGTTTTCTTGAGGAATTTTAAAATGAGGTTATAGTATGTCATGGTTGGACATCGGCTGGATGGGAAGAAAGTATGGTTGGCCGTAAATATTTCAAAAAGTGGGCCTTAATATATCAATCAATCTACTGCTACTATTTTTAGTCTATGTAATTTTAGAGTATAATATTTAAAAATAGAGTATTGCAAATATGTAGTGGCAAGCTGGCAATGCAAGTTAGAAGTCAGCTCGCCACAAACAGGATCTTGTCAAAGCATATAGACTTCTATCTCTAAGTTGGAAGAAGGAGCACTCTGATTGGCTGCATTTTTGGAATGCATTTGGATATTAGCAGTGTTGGAGCGAAGAACCAATTTTAAAAGTGGTTTGAAAATGAGTTACCGCAGCAGATTTACATTCACCATGATTTAAATGATAAACTCGCTCAACGCACTGCTGGCTGTAGTTTCCGAGTGTCTCTTGAATGCAGCTTAAAGCCCCTCACTCGGTTGCGCAGTGACCTCTCCACAGAAACAGGAATGTCTGGCCCCGGTTCAGAAACAGTGGTGAGTCCGGACGAGACGTAACGAGCTCTTGCAAAACGCTCAATATGACATGAAACCAATGGGCCAAAAATCTATTCACATCTCAGTAATGGAGGGTCCCATGGGGCTCTAGAGGGGTATTGGGAAGTTGAGTGCGCAAATAAAACTCTATTGGGATCAGACTGACTGCTGCAGAAGTGACTGGATGAAAAAAAGCATGAATATTGAATTGCAAAGAGGAGAGAGACGGGGAAATGGTGTCGCGACCTATTTTCCCCCCTCTCATTTTAACCAGCCAGACCAGATTAATCGATCTGTCTGTCAACCATAACTGGAGTGCCATAAGATAAACATTACATAATAGAATAACAAATTAGCATTTACTGATTTTGGAAAATAAAAAATTATGACAAATAACAAGAAACTACCAACTGAAAGTTACTTTTCATTGAAGAGTATTTTTATGACTTTGACATCTTCGTCAATTTTCCTTGATTATATGATAAGTCTGATACAATAAAAATGATAGCAACTTTAACAGGGTTTTATGCAGAGGACACACTTTATGGGACGAAAACATATACCCTACTCCTTGCCTTATTATAAAAAAAATGATTATGTACATAGTAAATGATTATGTAATCTATTTGGTCTAATGGCATGAGAATTTGGGTTGATTTTAAAGTGAAATATTGTCATATATTAATTTCATTTTGGGAGCGTTAACCATAAACTATAACAAGGATCCAGGTCCCTTTCACCAATAATTTCAAATCGAAAACCACTTTAAATTTGTTTAGTGTGCCTTTAGTGTTCTTGAGCATCATCATCTTTAATGACATTAGCCAGTGGGGTAAATAAGTGCCCCCCCAGAGAGGCTCACACCCCTTTGAAGACGCCGTGAGCTGGCTCTGTTAGAGCCCTTTTGTCTGTCTGTGAAGTTTATAATGTCAAGCAGTGTCTTGTGATAATAACTCTGTTTGATTCATGAGCAAAAACTTTTGCCATGGAAAAAAACAGCACAAACATAATCCTGTGTAGAGCATATCTGTGGATTTACGTAACATCATTTTAGTCTGTCCTGTAGTAAACTGGACACAAGGATTAGCCATAAGTGAGTCACACCAAAACAGCCAATAGGAAAACAAGCCATGAGCAGCTGTCGGCCAATCACAGCCTTGGATCAACTGTACATCACCTCACATTGAGTTTGTTAGTTCCCTACAGTATCAGTGTCAGGAGGAATATAATATAATACATACAGATTCAGAATATATAAACAATATTTGAAAATACTATATCTGATATGGAAATCCCCTAGTTCCATTGTTTGATAATTGCTAGCATACACGCTTCTTTTACTTTACTTGAATGGTCATATAAGAGAGGGAAAATAAATCAGTATCCAGTATCCATTTGCAAAAATTTGCCATATTACTGGAAATCTTCCAATATTCAGAACCAGTTTTAAACTTGCAGTAAGATTATTTTGGTGTGCTGAATTATAATTCGTAGGTTTTTGAGGTTTCTTTGTCATGCAAGGTATTCAATTCTGAATATTTTTTTTAAGAGAGGGGGATTGTGATTGCATGTAATTTGTTACATGTAATTTGCACAATTTAAAAACTGGATCAAAGGTGCTATATGAGTGAAGATCTCTCGCGTACTACTATCATTTTCAATAAATAAAAGAACGGGAATCTAAACATTCTATTTAAATTTTAATGTCAGCAAAGCTGTATCGACGTGTGCAGCCTAGCAAATATCGGTCATGAAACAAAACATCGGGCCGTGCCTCAATATTAGGAAAGATTTCTTTAGATGCATTGATCACTTGTGTTTTTCCGTTGCTAACATTGTGTGGGTCCCTGTTGCAGGCGTTCAAAGAGGAGCTGGAGAGTCTGATCACGGAGCAGCAGAGGAAAGGCAGTGTCCCCTCGGGGCTGTTGGCGCTGAGGCAGATCGCAGACTTCTTCATGACCAGTTCTGTGGCCGGGTTCAGCACATCCCCTCTCAGTGAGTACAGCACAAACACACACTGCCAAAACAAAACAAAAACAAGATGTGCTTATATCAGCACTTGGCTGCACCAGTTTAAAGAAATATTTACGTGATTGTGATTTTACAGATAAATATTGGGATTATGATTTGCGTTTTGTCGGTAAGGGAATTTATTCATGGGGCAACTCAAAGTTCTTTACTAACTGAAAAGACACTTTAAAACATAACAACACAGCAAGAATATCCATCCATCCATTTTCCCCTTAATCCATTTCTGGGCCGTGGGGTTTGCAGTCAGAGCTGCACTCAGTACACATAGCACCAGCCCCTCACTGATCCTGCTGCAGGATGTGAGAGCACAGCCTTGATCTTTCTGTGAAAACCTTAATTAATAAAAAAAAAAAAAAAGAGAATATACAATCTTTCAGTTTATGCACAGCTAAATAGTAGGATAATGATCAAAGACAATTCTGGGATGAAAGACTTGGGCAAGAATTCTCAGCATAGGAGCATTTAAGGTGCGTTCACACTTGTTGGTCCGGTTCACTTTAACTGGACAGAATCTGGTTAGGATCTTATCAGCACATAGCTATGCTCCTTATACAGACCCAGCCCGAGTCATGACCACCCCAATAGTCATTCCTGTGTCTAGTCTTAGTCCAGGTCAAGTTCCAGTCGGAGTTCAAGTGAACCTCCCCCTCTTGTGCCTATTACCTTGAGTCGGGGAATGTTCTCATTTGTGGGAATGCTGAAACTTGAATAAATTGTATATGTATTTTTAAATGGCATTTATCTCAATTTTTTGGGATATTCTTGGTTAGATATAGGTCAAAAAGCAACAATAAAATATGCACAATTAAACATTAAATATATAAAGGTCAATTTCTACAAAACAAAAGTAGTGCGCCAGTATGCATTCTGGGTTCTGTTGTTTTGTACTATAGAAAATGTAAATTTTCTCCGCTGAAATATTATATTAAGATTCCGGAGGGGAAAAAGCTGAAAGAAAATAAGAAAAGTTGCTTGAGGTATAAATTTAAGTAATATTTCTACAGCTTTGTGGTCAATTTGGTCCTTTCATGTTCATTCTAAATCTCAACTATAAAGATTTAAACCATTTTTGTTAATGGGAAATCCCTACTCAATTGTTATTATGACTATGATATCAGCAGAGAACTAACATCATTACCAGACCTGGATCATTTTAATTTCATGAGTCAACCCATTACCAAACATGAGGCTTTTGTGCTCAAGGGCTTTCACTCTGTGGGACAGCCCTGCCCCAGACTCCGGAAAAGCCGCGCATTTTTTCCGCGGTTTTGATCCTGTCGTCCAGTCCATGAATCCATATGTGGAACTGGTTTTAATCACAAGCCAGGAATGCACAACTAATGCCCAATTACATATCAAACTCCTATAGCGGGCCCTGTCTGGTGTATAGTTAAAAATACAGCTGTAATGAGCATGTCCGAGACGGCATCAACAAACTGGAATGTTGTTGTGAGGCAGATGCAGGTGTGGCTCAGTGGACCTATCAATTGCACTATTAAGTCGCTTTTGTTTGCTTTGTTTATTTTTTTTTTAAAGGTCTGGGAATGGTGACACCCATCAACGACTTGTATGGCGTGGACTTGTCTGCGATGGTGAAGGGGGAGAAGCAGCTGCGGTGTAAACTGGCCAGTGTCTACAGACTGGTGGACCTGTTCAGCTGGGCACACCTCGCCAACTCCTACATCACAGTAAGGCTTCGTGGTCAAGCCATTTCATCTGTTTACGTTGTTATACCGTGTGTTTTGGTTACCCACTCCCTTCACCCTTCGCCGTAGCTGGCCCCACTCTCCTGGAACTCACTCCCACATCCACTACACAACTTTAAATCACTTTGTGTAATCTCTCAGTCGTACAGGGATTATTCAAAACAACGGTTGCTCAACCATCATCTGTACTTCAGTTAGCAGGTTATCCGACGATTCTCAGGAGAAATTAACTCCAACTCCAGGTTGAGCTTTGGATGGAGATCGGACAACCTGCTAAAACTTACTACTACAGATGATGGGGAGCCACCTTCCTTTGTTTTAAATCCTTTTTCACCTTGTCTTTCCTTAATTTTGTTCTTCAATATTTATTTATGTGTCCAAAAAAGCGCAAATATAAGTTTGATGCATTATTTTCATTATTCATTCCGACCCCTTGATGAGCAAGCACTTAGGGGTACGTAAAGGTATATAGGAGGATTTTCTACTTCCGGGTGGATCCTCAAGACTATTGGTCCTCCTAATTGTCAATCATTCTGGTGATACTTGCTCGACAAATGAGACCAGAGTTTTTTTCTAAAAGTGAAGGGCGGTTCTTTCCAAAAAATTGGGAAAATCCTCCTATATACCTTTAACTTTATTGTTTCATTAAAGCTGCACTAACTGACTTTATTTTTCATATTCATTACGAAAACGCTATCCATGTCCATGCAGTGCATTGGAATATACGTCCTTTTGAAAAATAAGTAGCGCAGGGTTGTGCTGGCGTGACATTATATTTTAGATCGAGTTTTGATGAAACAAGGAAGAGAATTTGTTTCGGGTCGCAGATTGTGACCAATGACAGCGGACCACTGGCCCCCACTTTTGTGAGAAATCTACAGGTCCCTGTTAGCACAGACAGCTGAGTTAGCACAACAAGCGGCGGAGCTAACCTGAAGCTTCCTCGTCTTCGTCACCGGTTACTGCTTACACAGCGAGACAGCCATCCAAAAGAAAGTCTTGTTCCTCCGCGCTTCCCGGTTCTATTGTTCTATGGTCACGCCGTCCATGTGCAAATCCATATCCATGTATTATCCATATTGGGAGACGCTAGCTCCGTCCCAACAGTGAGTGTGTGTGGGGGGCGATAGCTTCGTGGGTGCGGGGAGGGGAGCAGAAAGAGAGAGGCCAGCGAGTCCGCGGCTTCAAAATACCAAAGTCAGTTAGTGCAGCTTTAATAATACATTTTATTTGTCCCAACATAAGTAGTTGTAATAAAATTAGATGTCGCAAAGTAAAATGTGAGAAAATTAGACCACCGTCTTCATTTTATTAAAGACATGTTGTATTTTTCCATGTTTGTAAGAAAGGGCCCTCTGAATCTCTATTCGAGGCTTTGGACTGAAAGCTGATTGGCTAAGTGAGGGTGGTCCTCTTTTTTACTTTTCTGCCTGAAAAAGCTGTAACAGAGGCAAAAACTAGTGATGGAGCCAAAGTGTGATGACACAGACTTCAGGACATAGTTAAATTCTCTGTGTTTTGAAAAATAGGTACCCCAGCTTTAATTGTCAATAATCATACAGAAATAACAAATTGTAAACAGTCCAATAGCGGTATGTCAATCATGTAATATTGTGTTTTCATCATTTCCACAGGCTCGTGTCAGCAAAGAGCAGGACCACATTCTCATCATGCCTCGAGGGCTTTCCTTTGCTGAAGCTTCTGCATCAAATCTGGTAAGTTTTATTTTTCTTATAAAGTATGAGGAGAGTCGAAACACACTGGGATGAAGCAATATGACACACAGACACATTTTTGCATTTGTGAGTTTAGTGTTTGATAATGTTTCTTGATGAACACAGACACAGCCTCTTGATGAAACCTATGATGTTGTTGTTGTTTATATTCAGCTTTGTCTGTTTTTTGATGCCCATATGGATCCTTACTCAAATACACATGTGCAGTAAATTTGATGGAACTCAAATTTGACAAATACAAAGTTGTTAAAGATGGCTGAGTTCATGTGCCGGTCAGTGGAGGCTTGTGTCAAATCGGAGTTGGCTCTCGGTCTGTTTCTTCTGGGGTTACTCAGAGTAACACGGATTTCTTTAAAAGCATTTAATTTCACATTTAATTGATTTACATGGCCCACAGCTAAAGACCCAGTGTGACCTTGCACTGAAGTGAACCGGACACGATTCACGACCTTGTCAATGTTAAATCAATCTTGGCATGCATGGTTATTTTGAGCTGTGTTCTGGGCACCGCATCAGTACACAGCTGTCTGAAACATCAATATATGACTAATAAAATGTTTTCAAAGTCTACATAGTGTTGCAATCATGTATAATGATCGCTCTTCTGCTCTTTGACTTTAAGCCTTTATTTTAGATTAAAAACCAGCCACAGTGAGCTGTGTGGTGGAGCCTGGTCGTCATGTTATTTTAACACTCGGCATGTTCGCTAAAGTTCTCCTTTAAGAAGATAAGATTAGAAAAATCTTTAAGAAATTATTTCAATCCTTTCTCTGTTAAGTGGCCCTGAATGTGGTATGGGGACGTGTTGGAGACGAACCAAGGAAGTTTGTTTAGGGAAACAAATCAGTCATAATCATTAATATAATGATTTTCTCTTGAAATTGACTTGGTGGCCATGTTAAAGTTAACTTTCCCTTCATTTTCATTATTTGATTTAGAGAAATTCATGCATGATTGAGGAATTTAGATTCTCTTGAACATCACTATTCCCAGTGGTCTAATTCACAGATGTTTTGACGTTGTGCAGGCTGCTCCCACTGTAGCTTTGAGTCGGGCTTGGCAAATGATGTCACCTTAAAGTAGGCTAACTTTGAAACCACAAAAAAGTAACTATGTAATAAAGTGCATGATAACTAGTTCTTCACTCTGAAAAATGTTTGGTGCTGTCACTGGTTTTGACATGTCTGTGTTTTTGGCCTCTGTCACATCTTCACCGAGTCTTAGCTCTCAGTAAGTAAAATATTTCTAATAAGATCAAGACGACATGTCGAGGTCTGATTAGTTCACAAAATGTTACAAGTCAGACCAAGACCATGGGGCGCTTTCTGTTGAAGAAAAAAATACATAAATGTTTATGAAACCAAAAAAAGTAAAGGTGCTCCAGCTTTAAGGTGCAGACACAATCTATAGGTTTGTTTTGGATCAATATTTATCAGTGGTCTCAAACACGGACTGTGGCCCCCTAGTGGACATCCAACTTTAATGCCCCTTCAGACTCCACTGACAATCTCTGCAAATGAAATATGGCATGTTAAACATAGATTTAAAGATAATTTCATCAAGAAAACAACCACACCATTTATTTTACCATAAACATTGAACCCTGAAGGAAAGACATAATTCAAAGTAAACATTATTAAACTTGTTGCTTTTCCTCCAGTTCTGTTTCAATCAAAGCAGTTGGACTCATTATGATCGTATGAATATATGAAAATTATATATAAAGCTCTATGAAGCTCTATGCTCTATTTATTTATAAATGTTAGAAAGTAATAAAAGTAATTATTGGGTCAAAATACCTTCACAATTTTAAAGTCATTGAATACAATGAACAATCAAACGTTTACTTTCTCTGCTGTTAATGTCAAAGAATAAGAAGAGAATCTCTGCATGTGCATAGATCTGTTTGCTCCATTGTTCATGTATTTTACACACACACAAACGCATGATAAATATACCCCTTAATGCGGCCCAGCTTCACCCAGACTCAACCTCATGCTGCCCCTTGGATACATTGAGTTTGAGACCCCTGATATAGATACTTCCCGGTTTCTCTTTTTCAGGTCAAAGTAAACATTATTGGCAACGTGATCGAACAGGGGTCCACAAACTTAAGGATCGACCCATGCGGCTTCAGCCCACACGCCGCCATCTACGCCATGAGGCCGGACATCCGCTGTGTGGTGCACGTACACAGTCCTGCCACTGCCGCCGTAAGAACACCTTTATACCTGCATGAATCCTATCATCTCTGTGTATAGATGATAGGATAATTATATACAGTATGTATAGATGCTGCCCTCACCTAAAACATTGATAATTATGTCTCTTTATATCTGTATTGGTCTTGTTCCCACTCTAAGTGTTGTTTTTATTCCAATCTTAAGGTGTCGTCAATGAAGTGTGGGCTGCTGCCTATTTCCCAAGAGTCTTTGATCCTGGGGGACATTGCCTACTACAACTACAACGGCAGCATCGATGAGCAGGAGGAACGCATAGAGCTTCAGAAAGCCCTGGGGCCAACAACCAAGGTACAAACAGTACTGTTTTAACTTCATAGTATTATGAAGTTATTTTTGAATGATCGTCCTTGAGCTCAAGAGGAAATGAGCTAATTATCAAGGCGTGGCTCGTTCCTCGTAGGAAACTGTTGACCTGACATCCTGCCTCTCTGCCAACTCTAATCAACTTTACATTATAAATGTGTGCTGCAGGTGCTGGTTCTGAGAAATCATGGAGTCCTGTCTCTGGGAGAGACTGTCGAAGAGGCCTTTGCAAACATGTACAATGCTCAGTTCGCCTGTGAAATCCAGGTACACAACTCAATATTGTGTTTTAGTTTCTCTCAGATAATTTCACCAAGACAAAATGTTTGTCACCTTATTATATCCATATACCTAGTAAATCAAGACTATTCCGAAATTTCCCCACTGTGGGACAAATAAAGGATCTTTTAATTCTGAAATATCTGGTCCTTTTTGTCTGCAGTGTAGCTGCAGTGAGATTCCCAAATCCCCAAAGTTATATTTCTGAAGCTGCTTTGTTTTCCTTGGCAGGATTTTGAGATTGTTCCCTCTTGTCTCTAGTCTGGTAAATCAGATTGGCAAAAGGAAATATTAATCCATCATGCAAAGCCCAGCTTAAATTCTATGAATAAATCCACCGCCAATGTCTGTTGTAATCTCTGCATCAAATTAATGTTGTTGTTTTGTTGCTTAGTTTATAATGTTTATCAAACATCTGTTCTGCTCACAGGTTAAGGCGATTTCATGTGCTGGAAGCGTTGACAACCTAATAGTGCTGGACCAAGAGTCATACAAGTCTCGTGTCCATGATGTGGGGACTGCTGCTGATGTCAACCATGGCGCCACCTACAGGTGGAAGACTGGAGAGCTGGAGTTTGAGTCACTCATGAGGATGCTGGACAACATGGTGAGCTCAATAACACAGTTGTGATCCAGCATGAGTTCGGTTTGGAGATGTCCTCATGCAGAGGAGGCGCCTTCAGCTCAGATTGACTGAAGTCAAAAGACCAAACAGAAGAAAAAAAAGAGGAAACATTGTGCCACATAACCCTTTGTTGAGGATCATAAAGACAGGGACCACTGCATAAAGGAGACAAATGAAAGAGATCATGATGAAAACCCTGTGTCTGTGTACAGAAGGACGGCACATACCTGTCATGTTGCGTTATATGTATATTTGCAGTGGCTCAAGTCTGTCCTTGTTTTTACCGCAGGGTTACAGGACCGGTTACACCTATCGACAGCCCATTCTCCGGGAAAAGCCCAGGCACAAGAGTGAAGTGGAGATCCCCGCCACAGTCACGTCTTTCATTTTCGAGGAGGACGGAGACATTGCCACCAGACTTCCCTTTAAGTTCCTTCAGCAGCGGCAACAACGAGAGAAAACGCGCTGGCTCAACTCTCCAAACAGTTACACTAAAGTCAATTTGGAGAACAATGAGGACCGCTACAACCCCAGGACGACCACGGTAAATGCGGCTCTCCTGGTTCCATGTCCTGAGAAATAAGTTGATACTCAAAAGCTGTTAAAATAAGTAGCACTTTAATTATATATTTTCTCTGTGAACCTCATATGGCAGGTGTGTTTGACTTGCAATGGTTAAAGCTGGTACCTATACTCGGGGACCGTTTAAAAATATTTAATAGATTTAGTTTGTTCTGTCAGAAAAAAAAACAAAAACAAAAAAAAACTATTTTAAATCGGACCCCAACATGTCTTCATCCTATTTGAACACATGTTTTCTTTGGCATATTTGTTGCTTTGATGCTTTGGGCTGAGAGCTGATTGGGTGAGTGAGGGTGGTCTAATCAGCTGATCTAAAGGTGTGACAGACAAAATACTATTTGTAGATAGAACTAATCTGTTTTCAGAGAGAGGAACTAGTTAGATTGAGTTTATTACGTTGTGCTTTGAGCGGTGCCACAGCTTTAATAGAATATTATACCAGACCGCCCTCTGTTGGTTGCTGAGTATATTGCATTTACTGTATCTATAAATACTCATAACTATAAGTATTACTCTTTTTGTAGTTTTATATGCATCAATAGTTTAGTAATAGTGGGGTTTAGTGCATTTAAATGTACTATTCCAATCAAGTTTTATTTAAAGGTGCATTATGCATTTATATGAAAAAATAAAAGTTGATGTTTTTGCCATTTTTGACCTTGTAGTATACCCCGGTGGTTGAGTGGGCAGCATGGCCTTAACGTTTGATCAGGGTTGTGTCTACAGAGTTCCAGGATCGACTGTTTTGGAGATTTTCTGGTCCCACAGTTGAGAAAACCTTGCAAACAACTGATCCTATAGCATCCTAGAGACCTCGGTGGTGGAAAGTAAAATAAAAGCAAATAAGCAAAAATATATTATTATTTCACGTAAAAAGTGGCACAATGCACCTTTAAGGATACCAGGGACATCTCATATCTAATTATGTTCATAGTTAATACATCTTTATTTGCTTGGCACTTTTCCAAAACAATGTAAACAAAATGCTTATATTTTTATAGACATCTTTTTTTTTATGAATACAAATGATATGTGGCTCTGATATCAATTCTGTATTCTGCTCACACAGTGGATGAAGGCGGACGAGATGGGCACACCAATCAGAATCGAAGACCCCAATCAGTTTGTACCACTCAACACAGACCCCAGCGAAGTGCTCGAGAAGAGGAACAAAGTGCGTATTAGTCTTTCAAATATATGATCAGCCAGAAACATGTGACTGGTGTGATATTTCTAGTTAATACATCAATGAGCATTTCCAGGAATCAATGGACCTGAATATTACCTTATTTCAACTGCATACAAATGTGTCTATCATGTGTTCGTTGTACAGGCTTTCATGTTGTGCTAATGTTGTTTTGAATCCATTACTTGAAGCCGGTATTTCCAAATATGTCATGTTTTTAGTTTAATTGCTAACTATTGTGTGCGCTGTCTTTTTAGATCCGGGAGCAGAACAGATATGACATGAAGACGTCTGGACCTCGCTCTCAGCATCTCGCTGGAATCCCAGTGGACCCCCCACGCAAGGTACCACAGTCGACATGACGTCGAATGTGAAATGTTTGTTTTAGATTTATTTCCAACGGCGAAATTTTAAAAAGAGCCTTAATTTGCCGTACTTCAACAATTATATATGTTGTGCTATGCTAAATAAACATAACATAAATAAAATTATGTTATGTTGTGCTATGCTAAATAAACAATCAGATCAATTGTTTCACTCGTCCACGTAACAGTGGCGTGAACAAATCATTCTTACCTTGATTAGTGTTGTCACGGCGATTTGAGTAAAAACAAATTCTAATTTGCCATTTTTCAGTTCTGTTTAGCTGTGCAGACAGGATTTATATCTTAGCTCTTTTTAATGTACTGTAATTATTTATCTTTTTTTGTGAGACACTTTAAAATTGCTTTGTCTATAGCAGTTTCGATACCTCAATGATTATTTGTTATGTTTTTTGTTAGTGCATTGATTTAAACAAAATTACCCTTGACTCGTTGACTACTAAAATAGCCATTAGCGGCAGCCCCAGTAAACTGTGTATAAAAGTCAAGACGGGGCTGACCACTAGAGGGAGACATAATTCAGTGAAAGACAGATTCTTACATGAATTGCGCTGTTCTCCTGTCTATACAGAGCATCTTGGACAATATGCTTTGGTTTGCACAAACTCAAAAGAAATAAATTCCGTGAAAAGATTCTGTTTGATTCCATATTTTTTTTCTGGTCTTAAAGGGCCCAGTGCAGATCAATGTCCTGGTAACTATGCACAATGGATTGCAGTGGTGTTTTATTGTCATATAAACATTTTTCACATCATGCAATTGAAAAATTCCATTCCACCCTCGTATTTAAAAAGGGCAATACAACATTTTGGAGTCATCGAGACGTTATTTCTTTTTACCTGGAATTTCCACAGTTGGCTGTAGTTTCTATCTACTATGTATAAATGCACTTGACATGTTGGATGTATGTAAAAAAAAAAATCCCTTGTAATACAAACTAGTACTTTAAGCCTAGATCTGACCTTTTAATAATTGGGGATGAAGACTAAAGCTCATAAGTGGCAATCAAATCGAAATCCCAATTAGCAAATCACAAAGACAAGACACAATTATTTAGATTATAAAATGTTCTTTACAACCCACAAATAAGCTTGTTGCATATCACAACAATTCTGGCTATCCCTTTGTTTATAAATATAACTATTACTGGAAATGTCAAAACAAGATTGATATTGCTTTCACTAAGATAGTATTTCTCTTCATTTGACTGTTTTCCAAAAATAAGTCCAGTCTTGCCTAGCGTTAAAGCACAGCAAGGAGGGATTTTAAGTGAGAATTTGCTCATCATTTATTGACCAAAGACACGTTTTCAAGTTTGTTTTCCCTCAAAATCATAACAAAATCACATTAAGTAGTAGTAACATAGTAATCACAAAGGTTGAAATATCAAACGATAATATATGTTAATTAAGATTATGGGTGAAAAATGTCTTTGTCAAACCCAGCCTCCAAAAGACACAGCCAAGTTATAGCGGGTTCTAATGTTAAGGTTTTATATATAAAACCCTAACATAACACCCCTATATTGATTAAAGTGGAACAATCCAGGTATAGTAATAACATCTAAATGGATTCAAGCTGAAACGTACTGTAGACCAGAGAAGTTGCATAACACATCGTTTCATCCGATGTCACACATGTTGATGTATTTTTATTTCATTGTCAGTAGAAGCATGCCACTGTTACAAGTCCCACATGTCACGCCTGAACCATTCTGGGCAGACGTAGATCATGTGTGTTCCATGTGTGCATGTTTGAAGCTTGTTTGTGGAGGCCGTGGTTTGACTCTAGTACGTCGCGTCTGTGTTAAGACGGTTCCCACAGTCTCGGCGCGTTACGACTCGCAGACTAATTACTGGAGAAGCGAGGAGGGGAGTCCGTGCATTCGCTGTCTCCAGTGTGTGATGTGGTTTTTATCATTTCAAACCCGCTCCAGATCTATCACAGTGGAGAACATTATTACCCAGTGTTTTGTAGCATGTGCGTGTGATTTTCTTTCATGGATGTGAGTGCAACATCAACTAAACTCCCGTGTCTCCCTCCTCCGCAGCCGTACGTACCCACAGAGGAGGACCAGATGGCGCCCCAGCCTCCAAACCCTTTCAGTGAACTGTCGCAGAGAGAAGTGGAAGAGTACCACAAGAATGTGGAGAGGAGACAACTAGGCCTCAGCGGTAAGATGACCACTAACAAACCAATAGGTACATTTCCTGACATAAGATCAGAAAATATGGACATTTTTTTTTAAACCAAACCAAAAGTGAATGTCAAGTTACTTTTCAAACTGTGAAGAGAAAGTGACATGTTTTGAAGGAGGCACTGGTTAGACCCGCCTTTCTGATTGGTCGAAATTAATTCAAGCCCTTTGTCATTGGTTTAACTATTCTCCCCAGCAACTCTCACTGGTCCTTGTTATGCCAAGAGAACGGGCCATTTTAAATATATTTTTGTTGAAGAATACTTGCTGTACATTTGGTGTCCTGTAGTCAGAAATGTACGTTATTTTTAAAGTGAGATGCAATTAAAGTCATCAAATAAAGACTTCACCTTTAAATATGTGTATTATGTAAATAGTTGCAAATCTTTATAGAGATTCTTTCTAAATGCTCTTTTTAGACACTGAACTACCCAACTTTGAACTCAAAATAATAGTTAATAATAATTTGAGCAGAGATACCAAATAAAATGACATGAACTTTGACATTTCAGTATTTTTTTTCTTCTGGCAATTGAATCTATATTGAAACTTTTACGTAAAACCTTGAGTTTCAAAACTAGTTTTATAAATGGATGTTTGATTTTCTATACTTTTGGTAACCAGGAAGTGCAGGTGTAGGAAGAAATGTATTACAAATTGTTAACAAAGCATCACACTGTTTGAAATTTAAAACTGTACATTATTATATCCATGTAATTGCTCTAATGCTTGTTCTTTCACACAATGAAACATAAGAATGAGATGTTGCAGGAGAGAAGTTCGTCTGCAGCGCGAGAGATTCATTAATTTCTATTTTTAGACCTCAGTCATTTAATGGTGGATATGAATGTTGCTCTATTTCAATTTCAATGATTGAATTTGGCCACGTTCTCTATTGTATTTGGTGCATCAGTGTTTGTTCATGTTGAATCAAAGGAGCTCAAACTGTATAAAAGCCAAGTCTCACTGTGAGACATATGGGCCCGGCACATGTACGGACACACACAGAGACCCCGTCCTCTCACAATGTCCACAACAACTGATTTAACATTTACCAGGCACAAAATTGTTGAGAAGAAATACATATATAAATAAATGTATTGGTTTGATTCCATCTTTTGGTCAAAGGGTCAGATTGAAAATATCCCATACAGTAAGTGTAAAATAAAAAGTGGAAAAAAGCACTAAAACAACATTGTGAGGCAGTTTAAATAATATCATTTTCAATCCACAGTTTTATAATATAATTGTATAGCAGACAAAGACAGGTGAAACTTGGAAAATTATAATTCAAAAGTTCTGTTTCTACTTAAAATGTGAAACCAATACATGATACAGACTCATGACATGCTCTGTGACTTAGGCCAAGTCTTTGTTTGTTATAACTCAGATAATTAGGGATTATTGTCTGTTTTCAAAATATTATAATTTCCCCAGATGTTTTATTTGGGGTTTTCACAAGCTTTGAGCCAGTTATCCACAAATATAGCCCCTGACATGTCTCACTTTGTGTGTATTGCATTGAGTCTTGCATACATTAGTTTCACATTGTAAGTGAAAGTACAGAAGAAAATTGACTTTAGTAATTTATATTTTATTAGTTTTCTTTTGCAGTCATAAATTAATCAAACTTTCCACAGACAGTACAAGCACAGTTATTTGAACCAAAAAATAAGATAAAAGGAGAAAATAAGCAAAAATAAATAATATATGTAAGGTTAAAAATCAAATAGATAATATAAATAAAAGAAATATTAACAGTAAATAGACTTTTGAATAATAATCTAGTTTTCTGAATTTTACTTTTATGTATTCTTCGACTTCTTTTCAAATCTGCTCTGGCTCCTATAGTGTTGTAACTGTATGAGATCATATTCGACTTTGTGCAGTCTGCTGTTGCCTTAGCTCATCCCAGAGGGTATCACTGAAAACCTTAGGCACATATGCGCTGCTTAGGTCCTTAAACATGAGCACAGTCTGGTCTCCAAAGGCTCCCACACACAGGCGTATGTTATAATCATTTTATCCCTCAGCCCCGCTGCCTTTACGACAGGCAGAAGTAAAATCAATAATGCACAGACTGGATAAGCAGGTATCTAGATCTGCATCACCACTTTGACAGAGGATGTCATTTTGATGTTTTAATAAGATCGTGATGATGGAAATGCCACCTTTAGTCAGATGAGTGCTGAGTGAGATGGCAGACTGATCAAACAGAAGGGCTTCACACCCGCCACATGAGCACAGCCCGTTGCTATGACACTGTTGCCCCCACAGCCCCATGACTCCCAGGAGGCCAATCTGGAGACGAGCTGGAGATGCTCTGGTCCAGCCTGATACCAGCCTATGGGGCATATTACACACTTACCATACTGTGTTTTACTTTACTCCCACCATTTAACTGCTGTAAGTAAAGCAGTAACACAAGTGGACTCAAATCTAAACCTGAACAGGTCAAAACTTACAGATGAAACCTGGGAAAAAGTACATTGTTTATTTGATTCAACTTACAATATGAAATGAATGATATAGACTCATTACAAACCCCAGATAAAACGGATCGTAATGGATAATTATCACAAGTAAGACAAACAAATGCTTGGCTTAAGTCACTTCTAATGAGTCTTTTTCACATTTTAAGTTGAATGACAGAAGTTAAATGGACTTTTGTACGATATTCTAATGTTAAGAGTTTCACCTGTATAAACCTATGCTCCAGTTGCTTTCTTCATTGTGATGATATTACTGGTGATGATCGTCAGGGTAACATTAAAGTTATCCATCTTACATTTATCTAATCTAATTGTGTTTTTAGTGCTCTGAAATGCTGTGAAAAACCATAGCTGCACCGACCTGTTATTCGACCCCAGGATGTCACCTACTTGTGTAACATCATACTGCTGTACAGTCCTGGTATAGAACCGGCCGCTGCACCAGTTACGAAGCCAAACGTCCTAAATGTACGTTTGAATTACACTAAGACTTAAATTATTCTCTCATTTTTGGATGAGCCATAAAGTAAAGACCTTGTGTTGCACATATCGCTCCAATCGAGTGTCTCTACAGTGTTGAACAGTGAATGAAGTGTCAATGGCACCTCAGCCGATGCAGGAGCTAATGTATGTGTTAATACAGCGATATGGGAATAACACCGCGGCTCTAATCAGAGTTTCAGTCTAATGACGTCTGTAAAAGATGACAGTATGTTTTGCTATTAAGCTACATATTATAGGTATGTCTAATGTGTAATCTATTTTGTCTACTTAGTGTGCACTTTAAAATAGTTGCAACTTTTGTGACTTCCTGTTACTTACAATGGCAATAAAAATATGACTAATTGCCTAAACTTCTGTAATAAACACTCAACTCACTCAACTTCTGCTACAAGGTTTGAACACTATGGGGCAAATGGAAAAAAAAAAACAGTAGTATACAGCAGAAAAATCATCCTCATCATCGCAGAACTCGAATAAGACATGAGCCAGTGCCTTATATCTGTTTTTGGCACCAGCAAACCCCATTTAGAGTCGTAAAGAAGGAAGGCAGGTAAAAAACATCTGTTCAATGATAAAATAACAGTTATATATGCTCAGGAGGCAAGGTGGGCCTGTTGAATCTGTGTCGGCTACATAACAAAACGATGCTGACCCTTTGAGCCTCTCATTTGCAGCAGTAGAGGATTGTGTGCGGAAGCAGCTGTGCATGGCCTGATTCTAACATGTCTGTTACTGCTAATCTCTCCCGCTCCCTCCGTCCCAAATCTGCTCAACTACCCCCCTGTATACTCCGGACCTGTCATCCACTCACCCCTGCTGCACACCACTGCTGCCCCTCCCCGCAACCCCTCCCTCCCTGCAGATGGCGAGCACGAGCTAACCTCCGACGACGGCTCCACTCTGTCTCAGTCTCTGTCTGTAACCCAGTCTGCTCAAAGCACGCCTGCGAAAGAAGGTATCTCTCAACGACGTAACACACTGATGGATGCAAAGCTGGGGTATCTGTACTTCCAATCAGATCACATAAATGTAAGAAAGAGAATCACTATGAATCACGCTTTGGGCTGACAGCTGATTGGCTGAGCAGGAGGTGGCAGTTTCCTTTTTGTGTCTGAAAAATATGATCTGGCCAAAGATACAGGTGAAAGCTAGTGATAGAACCTGAAAGAAATTATTAAGAACAAGTTGATTTTATTATGTAGTTCCATGTTTTGTGGCTTGAAAGTTAGATACCCCTGCTTTGGACCAATCTAATAAAAAACTGTATTTTCAAACATTAACATTGTGACCATTTGCCTGTTTTAAAGTGAAAGTTTCGCTCAATGAAACATATTAACTATTTCTCTTCTGTCCTTGGATGGGAACATGTTGAATGGTAGTGTTATGAGAAATGATTGATACTGAAAGAACATATGTTACAATAATGTGGAATCTTCAAATCCAATGTGGTTTTCTTTTGAAGATAGATAAGGATTTATCAAGAGAAACCAGCTCAGAGTATATCCATAGATTTTCAAGATAATAAACCCTGTTACCATAGTAATGAATAAATCAAAACAAGGTAGCCCAGGTCCTATACAACATATAAAAACATATTGGATTAGATGTATTTTATGTAATTTAGAGCCTTATAAACTGTGTTAACTTGATTGGAGTGTGGATCTCAAACTCTCTGTTCATCAATCTGACAAAATCTATCAGGATAATATTTCCATGATTCCTGATTCTCACATTGCCTTAAACCTAGTTTTATTAACCATGTGGTAAAAGTAAAGCTGCATATGTGGTAACATTTTGACTCACACATTATACTCTATATTGAGACAATTGGTAAAGGAAACACACAGTAGTGGTGCTTCACTGTTTGTTTTTCGATAGGGCGGTAATCAAACCAATCCTTTTAGTTTTTTAATGTTTAAACATAGATAAATAGATACTTTATTGATCTCCGTAGGAGAAACTCAGGATAAGCCAAACATAAAGTAAGCCAAACATAAAGTATTCATATATTGTCTGCATTTTTTGGTGGGATTACATTCTCCATAAACAGCATGATATCTTCAAAATGATGCTTATGTGCCAGTACAATACCAAATTTTGGCTCTAGATACAGTGAGAAGCCAATGAAATGACTTCCCATTGCAACAAACCCACGCTCATAGTAAAAACCCTATTATTTAAAGTGGGCTGGCCTCCATAGGACAAAAGATAATAGCTGAGACTTCCTGTGCGCTCCCTCCTGCTCAAACCAAACCTCACACAATAAGTAACAATTAACCCATGACAGCATACTGGCACTGGGGACCCATATTTTTCCTGACGCCATTGCAGTGAGGTCACCCAGTTGTTATGTTGAAAAACCAGGTCAGTTGTTGAACGAGTATTTCGCCTAAGTGGCCATGTTTGGTGTTCAGGTGAAACGAAGCTGCGAGGATGTATCTGTTTGAGTGTGGAGAAGTAATTTGATAGGGCTGCCCTGCATTTTCCCCTAATCTGTTTCAACAACGAACGGGCCGCGAGTCGCCTGTTACGTGAACGCTCATTAACTGAATGGCAGCAGCAGCGGTTTAAAAGGCTCGTTTTGGAGGTGAAAGGAGGACGCTCTCTCTATGCTAGCAGGTCACTGTGGTTTTATGACAGGATGTTATGAAGTATGTAGCACACAGGGACAGTAGCTCTTTCCACACACGCAAAGGTGTGTCAGTGTCGGCAGTAGAAGGAGGCTCCGGGATCTATATAAGAAAAATGTGCTTATTGTCTGCCCTAATGAAGTGGTCGAAACGCGCTGTCCCCAGAAAATAAAGGGTTTTTACTTTATAGTCAGTTGTGCCTCGGACCTTATTTTGTCCCTTCAAAATTGAGCTTTTTGCATTTTGGATCCTGAAGAGCACCTGACTCGCATACCCAACCCACAGCAGCACTCACTCTTCGTCTTACCTTAGAAAAATTAGATTCTTGAAAGTTTGACCGCTGAAAAATCAAAATAGTTCAAAGCCCAGAGGTTGAACAATTCCACAGTCTTAAACCAAATCCAGACTCTTAAATCGAGCTCTTAGAATAATTAACGACTCTTCTGGCCACCCTGGAAAAGCCATGTTCCAGCTTCTTCCCTCTGACAGAAGATGTTCGTTCATTTAAACAAAGCACTTTCATGATCTTGCACTTGTATTAGTTGATTGATTTCACAGTGACAATTGTTTCCTGCACCATTTTAGTTTTCTTTACTCCTGTACAACTTTTCACATGGTTTTTTATGTTCTAGCTGGGGCACACTGGGGACTTTTGCAGATGTATTCCAATGGGGTTTTACTGCAAATGGCCAATAATATGAATCTGGTCCTACTTTTCTGTGTTCAGTGCTAAAACTATAGTAAATGTGATCAGAAAAAGCCAACCCCTGGGTCTAAAACCTCCCTTTCTCTTAGACAACCACACGAACCTGATGAACGGCAAGGACAACCACAGTCTGGACGAGGAGCTGTCAAAGCGCGTGAGCCAGCTGACCACCAGTGTGGAGAGCGTGGAGATCCTGGTGCGTCCCGGAGACAAGATCGAGGAGCTGCTGTCCCAGGAGAGCTCCCCCTCCAAGTCGCCCAACACCAAGAAGAAGAAGAAGTTCCGCACGCCGTCCTTCCTCAAGAAAAACAAGAAGAAAGAGAAGACGGAGGCGTAAGAGCAGAGTGTGTCCGTGTCATACTGTCGCCGCTTTTGTTGTTTTTAATGTTATTTTTTTTAACAAAAGATTTTATGTTCAAAAAGAAAGGATTACATACAAATATTTTTATGTTTTATGACTTGTGCTTAAGACTTTGGGGGGTGATCTGGTGGCACAAGACTAATGCAGTACTCCAAGGTAGGGCTCCTTTAAAGCCAAAAAGTGACACTTGAGGCCCTTAAAATCACAAATAATGTTCTCCACAGGCTGAAAGATCATCTAAAACATAAAAAAACACTGCACAATGAAATAGCTTATTTTGTGTTGAATTATTATGTTGAAATTGAAATCTACATTTAAATAACCACACTGGAAACTGCTTTTGAAAACTATAGCCACAGGGTCGTATAGCACCTATCGTCTCGGCTTCTTTGTCTAAGACTGGAAGCTTCTATGAACTTTTTTGCAAACGTATTTCTTTATATGTAGCATTTCACATGTCTGTCTTTTCATCTCAATGTTTTGTTTTTTTTCCAAGAGGAGGGAAAAGAAAAAAAAAAATGGAAGAAGAAACAAAGCTGTCTTTCTGCCTTGGTTTGAAAATGAACTGAATTTCTATTGAATTTGTCTGTAACAGTCATCTCCCTTTTGTATAGTACATTTGTTAAGCATTTGTGTTTCCGAGAGAGAAACTTGCTGACTATATTTTTTCCAGCGTCGTGTTCACAGAGTTGCTATATATATATAACACATAATTATAAAGAAAAACTGGATATTTTGGCTATTCTATTTTATAAATGTGCTGCACTTTTTTTGTGGTAGATGACATTATTAGCATTTTAGCGACCGATATATTCTCACCAGTGAAGTAGAGGAGTTTGTCGGAAAGGCAGCGTTATGTTCACCGGGGGAAGGGAAGTACGATGTTGAAGTATATATAGGAGTCACACGAGAGAAATAATCACCAAAACGCGAAAAGGTCCACTGCAGTCACTATTGATCTGGGTCGATACGATTGAATCTAGTTTGCTGAGTGTATTTTTAAAAAAAGCCATATTGTAATTTACTTCAGTTGGATGTCGAGACAAAGGTAAAGTTTCTTCCTGCAAACGATACATTTCAAGTGACTGCGTCGACATTGCACAAGCTCCCATCAAATACAAGTCATATTTTTAATTACGTTTTAATTTTGATTAGATACACTGATTAGGCCCAGCATAATGACCACAAGTTGAGGTTAATGACAGATTATCTCTTCATTAAGGCTATAAATCTGCTTGGAAGTGGACTATTGAGCTGGGCAGGGGGGGTTTCAAAGCTGTGGATGTAGGGTAAATGGTAAACTCTATTGAAGAAGCGCGTTTACTGTAACTTTGTCAGGACAGTGGATATACAGGGCGACATACAATTAGAGACTAGAGGTGGGAGGTATTGACGAATCAAGCTCTGACCATCACTTAAGTAAATCAAAATATTTGCTAAAACAGCCCACTGCGTGTACTGAGACTAAAGTATTGCACAAAACCTGAAATAACACAACTGAGGTGCAGAAATGTGATTTAATACATAATTCTGAAGGATGATTCTCTTGCAAATTTGACTACATTCATTATAATCTCGTCAAAAAGCAGACCTGGAGTTGTATTTAGATCTATCCATGCTCATACAGGAACTTCTGGCACAAACATGGACAAATTCCACCCCTTCTGACTAAAGCTTTTGTTCTTAATGGCCAAAAATAATGTGTAACACTTCTTTAACATGCTTTTTAAACTAAATGTAAAAGCAGGGTATTATTAATTTTACAATCTGACTGCTTTGATTGAGAAACATCTTTCCTTTTAAATAGTTGTTTTTAGTTTTATTCTTCACAAGACAAGTTTCCAGGTAAACTCTGTGAAATCTTTTGCACACGCTTAAAATAGTCACTGTATGAATTTTATGAATGAGGTCCAACATAAAAAAAAGTATTGAAATTTTACAGTCTTTTTTTTAATACTGCTCCCACCTCTTAGTGATGTAGCCATAAAACATCCAACCAATGCCCTGCACTTGTCCCCAATAGTCTGTGCGTGTGAGATAGATGCGGTGGTCAGGAGTTCTGCTCTCTGCCCCCCTCTGGTTAGTTAATACCTAGTCATTGCTGTAACTGTCGGCTGACCCACAATTGAACCAAAGTGCAATGGGTTTCCACATCTCCCCCTCAGCAACCCCTGCAGCGTAACCAGATGTACCGATATCCCAGTGAGCAATGTGAACTATTGGATTTGGAGGAAGGAAGGGAGGGGCAGAGGGGCTTATGGTCAGACACTATAGCACCATGTTCTTTTCTGTGTCATTGTATGTATCACTCATTTTTGTTTCATCGTATTTCTCATCCTTGTTTTATTAACTATTTGATTGAAATGCTCCCAGATGAACTGAAGCCTATTTTTAGTTTCCTGCTGTCTGCACCACGCTTTTACTAACGCCTCGTCCATTTCCTCCTGAGTTTGTTTTTTTGCTTTGGCGTGCCAGAATGAGCCGAGCTTCATTGTGACCTGTGACGATCAGATATACAATGGTTATTCTAATGGAGTTGCTTTAGTTGTTGTGTTTCTAATCGGTGTAAATTCAAAAATAAATGTGTATTTTAAGAACCATTTCATTATTTTTCCATGTTATTATTTCTGCCCATTCATCAACCCCTTTTTATTCAACATAGACCATCATCACGCACGCACGCACACACACTTTTCCTGTTTACACAATATTCCCAGGTTTATTACTAAAAACTGCACAGTTGTTAGACTGAAGAATGGGTGCCTTCTGTTATTAAGATTTGTGTTCAGATGACGTTTTGATATATTCTAGCTGCTCATACAGGACGAAATAATGTAATGCATTTATTCAATATTAATGATATTTTTATTGCAAAAACACTGTTCATTTACTGTGACCTGTCTGGATGTGGCTTGACTCCAGAGAGAAAGTTGACCTAGAAAACTAGTGTTTAAAACTAAAGCTAATATAAATCTGGGGTACCTAACTTTTTGTTTGTTTTTGCAGGAAGAGTCTTGTAAAAGTATAATGTGAACAAACAAATCTCAACATTCGGTTTTCATCCAACATAAAATGGTACTTAAAGATGCAGTCAGTGATTTTTTTTCAGAGGCATTTTTTAAAATATTGTGGGAAAACGTCCCTAAACCCTAAAAGTAATCAAGTTAATCAAAAATTAATAAAATATTTTGGATGAAAATAAACCAATGGGATGTGTTTACGGCCTTCACCCTCTTCCTGTTTCTCACGAGTGTGCGCCCCTGAGTTATCGGATTTTCTAAAACCTAAAAGGGCTGGACAGTGTTGTAGAATTACATACCCCAATGAAGGAGAAAGCTCAAAAGTATTTGTCTTAATCAGGAGCGTAAGTTTATTGTACACACGTGCGGAGAGCTCACATACACAAAGCAGCGTCCATAAGCTCTGACGCGGACAGCCCAGGTTCCTGTTTACATAGACAACACATGAAAGACAGTCACGCCCACAAAAGATGGGAGGGGGCCACCAGTACAGGAGGCGCCTCCGGAGGCGAGGCGCCAAGTCCGTGGGGAGGCAATCAGACCGTGCCATAGAGATGCAAACAGAGAGACAATGGACATGCAGGATGTAGAGATGCAGACATACAGATGCAAGATGCAAAAGGGACAAGGGTGAGACAGTCAATGTCTGTAGGTGCGGGGGGAAGCCCGGCTCCTTCCTGCAGGTTAATTGAATAGAGCAGCAGGGGGGGTGAGTTGGCGTCCCCGAGTCTAGGCCGCTTGCCATCACACTCCTCTCCCGTGATAATGTAGAAACCCCAGTTTTACAGAGATCACATTCAGGTGGGTGAGTATTGACCTTGGTCCCTGAGCAAAACAAGTGGAAAAATAAAAACAAGGTAAACAAGAAAGAAAAACGTTAGAACAGTCAATAGGGCTAAACCAAGATTAATGAGCACACTCCGCCAGGAGGACAGGAGCCAGTCCAGACCGTGAGGAGTGTCCGTGACATTGTCCGCTTGCATGGCGTCCCGGAGTCTAGTCAGATTGGCTATGCCCTGTTGGATAAGACCTCCGTCCTCATCATTAGCCGGAATATATGAAGACAATACTAACATAATAAACACGGTCAGCACGGAAAGTACTGTCAGCGTGGCCAGCATAATAGTCCAAGGGCCCATGCCGGTCTTAGCCGGACTACATTCGGTAGTCTTTTTCGCGGGAATGCTCACGAGTAGTGCCGTCTTGCAGTCAGTGGCACCGCTCCCTCTGAGCGTGTGTGGAGCGTTAGTGGTCATGGCGATGTTTGGTCTTGGAGCGGCAAGACTCTAATCGCGTTGAAGCCTTGGCCTCAGCACTCGGTTGGGCAGAGTGCTCGGGGTTTGGGGTGTGGCCTTGGGGTCCGGGGGCTGGGGAGTTGGGCAAAGGGGGGTCGCCTCGGGATTCGGAGGCAGGGGAGTTGGGGCGTTGTGTTCTTCCGGGGGTTGCGCCTCGGGAACGCTGGGATTCTCTGGGTGTTGTTGTTGGCCTGCTTCACCGACGGTGGTCGCACGCCGGCCGACCTCTTCAGCGTAGGGAGCCGCGGATGGGCCTGGTCCGTCCCCACCCTCGGTGTCCTCGTCTATGGCCCTCAGTGGCAGCACCGCACGACAGTGGTAACGGCAGTGTCCGTCACCAGGAGGACGAGGAATGGGCCCAGCCAGCGCTTGGACCACCAATGTTGTCGTCTCGTTTCCTTCACCAGGACCCAGTCGCCTGGCTTGATCTTGTGCGGAGCCGCCTGCGCAGCCTGTGGCAGGGTGCTCCTGACCTGGGCAGAAATAGAGGACAAAAGTGCATTAATTTCCTTACAATAGGACAGCATGTCGTCATCACACAAAGAGGTGCTTGGCAGATCTCTGGTCGGGGGTCCCGCGCCCAAGTTGGGTGGTCTGGCAAGGAGGATTTCGAATGGGCTTAGGTTTGACCCTGACCTGACTCTCATGCGCATGTACATGAGGACTAGCGGCAGAGCTTTGATCCAAGACAGGTCTGTCTGTTCACAGATTTTAACAAGTTTGTTTTTCAGAGTGCCATTCTCTCGCTCGCACGCGCCTCCGCTCCAGGGGGGCGTAACTGCAGTGTTTACGTATATCAATGCCCAGAAATTCACCTACTTCCTCAATGACTTTTGCTACAAAGTGACTGCCATTGTCACTAGAGATTTTTTCTCGGGACACCCCATCGTGGCACAATTTCTGTGAGCAGAGCTTTCACCACCGCGTTGCTCGTGGCGTGTTTGCATGCAAATACTTCAGTCCATTTGGACCAGAGATCCGCCAGAACCAGACAGTATTTCTTACCTTGGCATGGTGTGAGTTCAACAAAGTCCATTTGGACATGTTGAAATGGGCGCAGGGGCGGAGGATGAGCAGCCTGTTGGATACTTTTGGGACTTACCTGGGTTGTGCGCGAGGCAGATAGCGCATGTTTGGCAGAATCTCTGTGCAAATGCCGTAAACCCCTTTGTATACCAATTTTGTGTGATTAAATCACACATCCCTCCTTTTGAGGCATGGTCTCGGCCATGTGCTAAAATTGCAAAATGTCTG